GAGTTGCAACCAGAGTCATGGAACGGATTAAGTTCGTAACTAGAGGTACCACTGTATTTTATTCCAGGATGAGCAGTCCAAATGACCAAACACCACAAGATTGATCCTGATTGGCAGACCAAGATTCCTGCATCCCCACCCAATGTCTTCCCAGATAGATGTGCACCCTCCAAATGACTTCACTATGAACCACTCTGTGAAGTGGCTACTTGACACTAGCTCCAGACTAACCTTGCAGTCTAATTAACCTCAAGTTTAATACCAGATCTACATCAAGCCTTCAAGTAAAAGAACATCCTCCAGTCAGAGTGGAAAAGAGCTCTGCAGTCTTCTTCAGGTGCTTAGGAAAAGCTGATGTCCCTGTCTGCACACTCCCACCCAAAAGCTGGCAAAGACCAAAGAAGGAGCAGCTAAAACAGAGGCTAAGCTATAAGTAATATTTTCTCTCTTCTCATTTGGTTTCCTTTTTTCCCATTGAAGGCAAGAGCTCCCATTTTTTTCTAATCAGTGTCCCAAGTGTTCAAGCTGCCTTAATTAAACAACTGCAACACCAGGAAAAGGAGCCTCCCAATGTCATGGAGACATTATTCCTGTTTCCCCAGCCAGGTTGCTAGACTGGGCAAGTTCTTGTTCCTCATTCATTGGGTTGGCAGACGAGCCCAGAGGGAACACACTGGAAGCTTGGAGGAAAGGAAGGATGTGGGTTCTCCTTTTGCCCTGCCCCCTGGTGCTTTAGCACAGGTGTGTGGTAAACATCCTCCTGCAGACAACATAAATGCATCTGACTGCCAGGACTGTGTGTCCCTCCATGCCAGGGGAGGGGTTCCCATGCTTCAAGTTACCTCCAACAAAAGGGCATGGAATTTTATATGATGAGCTCAGCCTGCAATATTACCATCATAACTTTGTGTTCAGCATTTATTTTGCAACAAGTGTCACATGATACAGCTACAAAGCAATTGGCTCCCTACACATGGAAATGCTAGCACTGAGCAAAATAGTTTCCAGAATAGATTAGTTTTAGACCAGATCCTTGCAGCCAAAGGACGTGTTTGTGCAGTAACCAGGGCAGAACGCTGTACCTTTGTACCTGAGAGCCAAAGAAGAGATCCATTCTGTGCCTACAGGACCCCAAAAGCTGCAAGAAGACGTGGACTGAACCCTTTGACTTCTATGGGAAATCATACTGGTTGCTGGAATCATCTGAGGCATCACTTCAGTGGGACTCTGGAAGCATGGACTTGATCTTTCTATCACTGAACTATTATTTGGAGACCAGATGTAATGAAGGGACTAGATCCACACCCACTGAGCCTTGAAAGGGAGAACTCTGCGCTGTTTTCCTACCTCTCTTCCTTACAGCAATTGTGGCGTCGGAGTGCCCTGACCCAGAGCTTGCTGCTAGAGGAAGCCCTGCATCTCTTTGAACCTGGAGACTGGATGTGGATCCACTTCTTCACCAGGAGCTCCTCACTACAGCCAAGGTGGGAGGGACCATTCCAAGCGCTGTTGACAACTCAGATGGCGGAGAAAGTGGCAGAGCAGAACACCTGGATCCACACGTGAAGCCTATGGTGGTAGACCACAATGTCGAAGTTGCTGCGCCCCCTAGACTGCCACAGATCAGGCTCATGAAGGATCCAGAGATTGACTGGAAGGGCTTGAAAAACTATCTGGGGATTGTGGGCTTTGTGGTAGTAGGAATGTTTGCTGTTTTGCTCAATGTTTACCTTCTTGCTTAGGATAATTTAGGGAATGTTTCTCTGACCCCAGATGAAGATCAGTCTCTCTTCCCCCACCAGGCAAATATCTTTAATGATTATGCAAATTGACAAAAAGTACAAATTTGGTTTACAAAGTGATTTATCTGGGTGTACGTAGAATATTCTGTTCTGTGCACAAAGAGGGGATTGTGGGAAGGAAATCTTCCTCCCGCCATTCAGTCTTCCTCCCTCCTCCCTGCTATGTAGTCTTCCCGCTGTAATCAAAGTAAAAGGTGAGAAACTGCAATTAGAATGGGCCCAATTCCTAGATTAAAATGCAGCAAGAGATGCCAGTTTCATAACATTCCTTCCTGGCTGAAGCTTAACCAGAGGTCTCTGACCAAATAAGAAAAGATCCTTTCCCCAGGAAGATTACCATTTGGAAACCGCAACTCAGCAGGTTGCCTAACTGCAGAGCTCTCCTTCTTGGAACATCGGCTAAGTGCACTTTCTCAGAATTCCTAAAAGGCACGTATTTGCACACTTTCAGGGAGTAATGGCAAGGTTCCCCTATCTAAAGTGCTTCAAAAGGAAGACTTAGCGTGGCCACCTCTAACTGCTAATTCTGTACATTGTGCTCTTGGAAATAAACCTCACCTCTGGTTCAAACAATTCCCTACGTATTTTATTCCCGGCTTGGAAACCAACCTGATAAGATTTCTTTCTAACAGTTGAATTTCTTTGCCCTCCAATTTTGCAGATAGCTACTCAATAATAATTAATCATGAGACATATTTGTTGTCTGGATGTAGATTATTGTATATTTTATGAGGTGATTGTTTAAATGTGTATGCTGTGATTTGCATTACATTTTATTTTATCAATAGTATTGCTTTAAACTAGGAGTAAACATCATGGTACTTACTAAATATTTGAAACCGCAGCTCCCATCATTTCTTGCCACTGGCTGTGTTAGCTTGATCTGAAGTCCAGAACGTCTGGACCAATCAGGTGGACACCAGCTTGCTTATCTCCTCTTTCTACTGCTGACTATCACACTGATGTATGCTATGGAAGAAGAGACGCAACACTCTTATGAAATATTTGGGGCTGTAAGTGCAATACTATAGATCCCAATCTCATCCTTTTCTAACTAGCAGAAAGTCAGCCTGCTCTGGGATGTTGAGACTTGCTGGCTCAGAAGAGGTTTCTAGAAGAAGAGGCTACTTTTGTCCGGTCTTCTGAAGGAAAAAACAAAACTTCAAAGATGAATGTTAAGTGGAAAGGTGGAGCATGCCTTAACCTGATTCTAAATTCCATTTTAACTAGTATGTGGTGCCACCACAACATCCGTGTGAGGAAAACAATGTTTTAAATCCATGCATTCAAAAAGCAGTTGTGGCATAAACTGTCATTAGTGGCTGTACATCTCTGCAATCACCACTGGCATTCTGGTGACTTTGAAAGCCTCCTACCTGTTTGGGAATGGCCTGTAACGTAATTGGTTACAGAACCGGAAGCCGAGTGAGCAAAAATCAGGCCGTCTGCTTGCTGTATCTAAGGATAGAAAAGTAATGCCGTAGCTAAAGAATCCTGGCATTTAAGAAACCTTGACTTCCTCTACTTAACATGGCATTGGATATCTTAAGAAGCACACATTTAGCTCTAGAACTGTAATTTCATTTTCCTGCCTTCCTAAAACAGCCTTCTTAAAAAGCAGGGTTGTTAAAAAAGCAGTTGGCAAATATCAAAAGTTTTATGCTTACGAAGGCTGGAAGCCCAGGCTTGAGCCTTCGTTGGCAGCATGGCCAGACTGTTTGCCCTGGTTCACAGGAATGCTGGGGCAAGGTCCAAGGATTAGACAGAGCAGAGGCTGTTACCCAACATCATGGAAAATACAAGCTTGAAACAATTTTCTTGTTTTCTTATGGGCAGGGCTCATACATTGTGCTCTCTCTCTCCCCCCCCCCCCCCCCCCGGCCAGTTTGGTGTAGTGGTTAAGGCACTGAGCTAGAAACTGGGCGGCCGTAAGTTCTAGTCTCACCTTGGACACAAAGCCAGCTTGGTGACCTTGGGCCACTCACTCTCTCTCAGCCTTAGGAAGAAGACAAGGGCAAACCACGTTCAAAACCTTGCCAAGAAAACTGCAAGGACTTGTCCAGGCAGTCACCAGGAGTCAACAATAACTTGAAGGCACTATATATATAGGGGATATACATCTCTAGATGTACTTCCTCAATCCACTGGGGCTCTAAGTAGTGGTTTGTTGAATAAGCCACATCATACACGTTTATGCTAAGCCTTAAACTTGGGGTTACGATCCATAATGACTCAGTTCACACATAGCACTAAGCCATAACTTTTTTTTTTTTTTGGTAATAGCTTTATTAAATTTTTAAACAAGAAAGATAAAAACTAACAACTACTCATATTTAAGATAAGGGAAAGGAAGAAAAGAAAGACAGAAACAGAGAACAAAGCCAAAAGTGCAGAAAGAAAAAAAAGTATAAAGAAATTACTTCCAATTTTCTTTTACAACAGCTATAGATATAGATTTAAATTGAATTCTTATTCTAGGGTTACAATATAACTCATTTTTCTATCATCTAATATTTTTTCTAATCATCAAATTCATGTATCATCATTTTATTATTTTTTTTTCTGTTTCATCCAAAAAGTCCAAAAGGGGTTTCCAATCAGCATTGAACTTAATCAGTCTCTTTTCTCTGATCAAAGCTGTCAATTTAACTATCTCAGCAAGCTCCATCATCTTCACAATCCACTCTTCCATTGTGGGTAATGTCAAATCCTTCCACAGTTGTGCATATAAAAGACTCACTGCTGTTATCATGTATAAAAATAAAGTTCCATGCTTTGTTTTCCAACTCTTTATCAATCAGTCCCAAAAGAAACATCTCTGGCTTCAACTGTATATTACACTTTAAAATCTTCTGAATTAATGTATGTATTTGGATCCAATTTTTAAAAACTTTTTTACATGTCCACCCAGCGTGATAAAAAGTGCTGTTCTTCACATTTCCGCATACATTCAAAGTACCTTTTATACATTTTAGACAATTTTTCTGGGACAAATACCAATGATACATCATCTTATAATAGTTTTCCTTAAGATTATAACATAATGTAAATTTTAGTCCTTTCATCCACATATTCTCCCATTGTTCCATTTGTATGTCATAACCAAAATTTTTGGTCCATTTTATCATACATTCTTTCACTTGCTCTTCTTCTGTTTCAAATCTCAATAAAAGTTTATACATTTTAGCAATAACATGTTCTTATGGTGATATATTAGAATTTTCCCATTCTTTCACTTGCTCTTCTTCTGTTTCAAATCTCAATAAAAGTTTATACATTTTAGCAATAACATGTTCATCATTTGTACATAATTCTGTTTTTTGTACAAATTCAATCTTAGAATATTCAAAAACAAAAGTCCTTTTATCTACTTTAAATCTTTCTGATAATTGTGCGTAGGACATCCATTGACATGTATATCCTTCTAATGTCAAGTAATCTCTTGATTTCATTTTT